CAGGTTCTGAGTTTTGTTTGGGTCTGAAGTGCAGGTTTTTGTAAAGTAACCATAACTGCCACAGATGTAATACTAGTTTTGGTTTGTCAAAGTGTGGCTTTGTGTCTAATAGGTAGACCAAAAAAACCTATTTGTACTCTGAAAATTACCTTGATAACTATTCTGGTAATTGCTTTGATAACTATTGAGATAACTATTTCTTTTCTGCAAGTATCCTAAACCTCTTCCAGTACTGTCAATTTTTTGTCACTTATTCCTTTTGACCTCTGCTAATGTCTTTGCCTTTTCGATTAATGAATCTTTGCCTTTTAGCCAATTATCTTGAACATAAAGTAAGGCTGATGCTATATCTCAACCAAACCCTTTGGCCACTCTCAAAATAAATATTCTATTCTCAGTTTTTTCTCTAGCAATATTAATATAGTCTGCAATATCAGCTGTTGTTCTGGATTCTATTGCTAAGTCTAGCTCTTTTCTGATAAACCACAATATATCATACTCATGTTGATTACATGGTTTCTTGAATTTATATTTTGGCCAGAATTCCTTTACCTTAGCTTTATACCGTGCTTTTTGCACTTGGCATGTTACTGTATTTAACTTGTCATTGAACTTTAATAATGCATATTCTAATTTTCAAATCCTAACAATAACTTGTTTTCCAGAAAACCTGAGGAACTTTTTGCAAGCAACTTCTGCTTCTTCATTTCTCTATCTACTTGAGGCTGATCAACAGGTGGCTTCTCTATATTTTTTGGTAAATTATCACAAGGCATTCTTCATATGGTGTGTTTTTTATTTTGCAGCAAGTCTCTCAGTATTTGTGTCTATTCCTCTGAGTTTATATCCAATACAGCTGAGATTTCTTTATGGTCAGAGACTATTGAGATATTATTAGCAATTTCTTGCCCCAAATTACTTGTATTTGCAAGAACATCTTTTTCTTTCCCTTTTTCATGATTTGTAACTTCTGAATACTTTCTCAATTTTTGGATTAAATCTGTTTTATTGCTTTTAGTCAATAAGCCTAAGCTATAGTATATCTCTAAAAGATCACTTTATGATAAGTTTAACTTGGCCATATAGGCTATTCAATAAAACTACTAGATATGATAAGCTAGATAAAACAATCAGGCAGCAAAAGAATCGAGCACTTTGATTATCTCCTTAATCTTATTCCCTTAAATTTACAATTCATTATCTTCTCTATGATTTTTTTTACATTCTTTATTTGGGTATACATGTTTATTGGGTGATCCTCATGATAATAACCCTTACGCTGACTATATCAGCTTATGGGCCATTAAAATCATTAATAAACTTGAAAAATAAAAAAGTATTATGATCACTAATAATAATCATATTAAATCAAATATGAAACAAAGGGCTGTTAGGATTTTTAACAAACTTAAAAAATAGAGCACAATTATGGCCAGCAATAATAGTAAGGTTAAATTAGACAAACAATATATTGATTTGGATAACGATATTAAGCAACAATTTTTAGAAGTTGATAAATCAATCAAAGAATTATCAATCACCTCATCAAATCATAATAATGTGATGTATACTTCTAAACTTATTAATATGAAAGAAATCGTTTTAGAGGTTGAAAAGTTTAGGACTAATAAATGACTTAAACCAAGTAAAGAGATTTGTATTGATGATATTGATAACAAATTATTTTTTTAATTTTTTTTTATAAATAACATGGTTAAAATGTATTGTATATTGAGAATGTATAACTTAGAGGTCAGAATGTTTAATAATTTGAGTTTATCATATTAATCTATTCAATAAAGTTTTGATATTTTGATAAATTGTGATAAACCTGAATTATTAAAACCAGTTCTAACCTCTAGTATGACTTTTATTATTTATTTATAATTTTTTTTAAATTTTAAAATAAATATCTTTTATTGATTTAGAATATAAAAAATATTATAATTAAAATATTATTTAATTTGGTCTAGGTCAAAATTCTGACAGGATAATTTGACAAAAAATGGAGAATTTAAGTATAAAGGCCTGAAAATAAAATTAATTACAAATAAAGACCCAAAGTGAAAATAATTACATATAAGAGTTCAAATTTTAAAAAATATTACAATTAAGGACCAAAATAACTTTATGTTATAATGATAGTAGTTTTTTGAATATTATCACTGTATATATATGCTACCTTTTTCATTTTATACATATCTTCCTTCACTTAATAAAATCTTCTTTTAGCCAAGTTACTGTTTGACTAGATTAAGCATAATATTTATTAATATTTTGATATTTATTCAGTTTTAAATTGAAAATCTATCCTATATTAGGCTATTTATAAAAGATGAATCATATTTTGTAAAGATTACTACGTGTTAATCGAAGATATTTAGAATCAAAAAATTATTGTATTTATAAAAATTAGCAAAAAATATTATTAATTTTTATATACAAGATATTAAAATAATAAATATGTAATTATTTTTAATTTGGGCCCTATTTGTAATTATTTTTATTTTCGATATTTAAATTCCTCTCAAAAATCCTGATAGCCAAAAATTCATAATTAAAAATCCCAAAAATTAAAAATTCTGATAAAAAATTTCATAAACCATAGCTAATCTTAGCCTAACCTTTATCTAAAGTAGCCTAACTTCAAAGTCAATTAAATTATAAAAGTTTATTTTGCTTTAAATATATCTCTTATTTGGGATTTTTTATTTGAAAATTCTGACTGTCAGGATTTTTTATTGTTGGAATTTTTTGTCGGGATTAGGGATGGTTAATATAATAATTATATTAGCGATAGCTAAAATTTAACCCTTACATATTTTATAAATTAAGTAATTTAAGAGTCATTTGTTACAAATAAAGTAATACTAAATATATGCAAAATTGTTTATGAGTTAAATAAAGATCAACTATACCAGAATTAGCAATTTTTGCTACACGAGTTATGTTGATACCACCTACTTCTGCTAAAAGTGAAAGATTCTGGTTATTTATTACAAATATCTATTCACTACAGCATAACAAACTTATAAAAAAATATGCAACAAAAAATAATATGCATTCGAAGGCATATTGCACAAAAAAGAAGTAATTTAAAAATAGGTTTAATTAAATCATTCAAACTAATATAGCAAATTTTAATGAAGCAAGTTCTGAAAATACTGGATTTGAATATTGAATTTGATGATATAGAAAATAATAATAATAATCTAGAAGAAAAATTTGAAGAAAATACAATGCAAACAATTGAAAATATTGATAATTTTAATATTAATAATAAAATTATATATAATGAAGCCATAATTGAATCTTCTATTTATGCTACACATAGTATTTATAAAAAAAAACTTTAGAAGACTGGTTAGTTTTGAGAAGCTTGTCAACGAAATAACAGGTGTTATATCAATTTTTTGCCATAGCTTTAATTGATACTTTATTTTTCGTAATTAATCATAACAGGATATTACATTTTTATTATACTTTTTATGTTATCATAACTAGTTTTATCTAAATCAGGTATAAGACAGTAATATCGTAAATATATAAATGCAATTCTTTTTGTTAATAAAATGGGAAGAAGAAGCATATATTTGATAAGTATAACAATCTTACTCTCTTTAATAACCAGCAATCATTAATAATAAAATATCTATCTTACATTATTTATGTTATGCCCAAAGCTAATCT